TTCTACTATGTAAAGTCTGGATAGTAGTTAATAAAGGAACATTAAGATTTTGTTCAATTTTAATGACTACAATTATAAAAGCACTAAATCTTGGCAGAAGAGGTTTTGAATACAGCAAAGTTTTGTACAGGCAAATTCCCCAGGAAATACATATTAGAGTTTTGAGGATTAAAAAGAAAAAAAAAACTTGGGAGAATTTAAAGGAAATATATTAGTCAATATTAACAGGTTAAAGGTGAACTCTGAGTAGACTTGCCAATCTCAGAAATGGTTAAAGACATGATGTCTAGATCAGTTATAATTGATGATTACTTTTCCTAAAGTCACAAATGCTTTTATTATAGTTATGAAATATGAATTATTTCTTATTAAATGATTTCTAGATTTTAAAGATATTATTTATTGCATATGAATCACATTTAATTGTATAACCCAAGTACAATATTTTTACTTTTATTATAGGAGGTTATGAATTACCTGGGCCCTCTCAGCAGGGAAGACGCAACCGTTTGGTATTTCTAGACTGATTTAAATTTTCAAGTCATTTTCCAAGCATTAATTAATTTGCATAGCTTCCATGGGAACTAGGTTTTGCTATTTAACTAATACAGAACCAAGACAGAAAGGTTAGTAGATTTGTTTCAGGTCACCCAGTATACTCGATATACACAGGTACACACACCAGATATACACACTTAAAATTATTTAATTTTAAGGTTTATCTTATTTTACATTAGTGAAATTTGTCATTGGAATCGGTTGTACTGCACCTTCTAGCTCATCAAGGTCATGGTGACCTTAAGGAAAAAGAAAGGGAAAGTTTCACCAAGACTGGGGGGGTGGGGGAGAAAACCACTTTACAAAAGAAATATGTATTGGCTGAGAAGTGTCTGGGTGAACAAAGCTGTTATGGCCCTACCGCCAGGATGTGGTACTTAAGGGAAACTATAGGAAGTTACCATCCCATGAACACTGAACCCTTTGGTGATGTTTGGCGAGGACAGTTTTAAGTGACTATAAATAGGATTTTTAACAGGGAAGAGTTTCCTTCCAGGTGAGTTGGAAAAGGAAAGGGGAGTGCTAAGGGCCTTGGCTTGATGAGAGTGAGGGGTTCCTATGCATTATGGCGCTAGTCTGGAGCTTGGGCCTTGCTGATCCATCTTGGTCTCTTCAACTCTCCTCTCCCCGCCTCACCTCCTAAGGTCTCCTCCTAACTGGGGAAGACTGACATCATCACCCAAGGTCCTGTACTCCAGACACGGCACATACACAGCTGAGGATGTTCCGTTTCGAAAATGGCAGGGTCTCCACTTCTCTGACTGATATCAGGGTCAGGGAGGCAAAGGTAAATCGGAGGAAGAAAGAAAGATTCAACTTAAATAAAATTGTCAAGCGTTCTGAAGATGTGAAATATAGGTTTGGCAGTTTCAGGGCACACAGCATAATTTATCTGGATTTTCTGAAAGCCTTTGACAAAGTACACCTGACAACCTGCTCTTGAAAGCTCAAGGAGCAGGATCCGACATAAAACACCACGTAAAGTATGACACAAAGGCCAGGGCAGAAGGCAGGTGACACTGGGATTCTGTCAGGCACTCAGCACATTCTTAACGCTGCTTTCCTGAATTCTTTACATTGCATCAGTCTCAACAATGTAAAAGCCAGACTCAAGGGCTATGCTGAAAAGGCAGGGAGGAGTTTGTGTGTTGGGGGATGGGGGTGGGGTGGGAGGACAGGGAGGGCAGAGTTTACTTGCAAGGTGACATCCTGGTGAGTTGATAGAAATAAATCCTGCAGACAGTGTCACTGGATGTGGAACCTGAATCCACTGTCCTGTCCTGTTCCCTCAGTAAGGATAATGGCTTCTGTGTACGCTTGGTTGGAAGAAGAAGGAATGTGACAGCCTTCAGCATTTACTGAGCACTTACTATATCACACTAACTTTAATACAATAAGCGTTAAATTTCATGAGCAATGGCAAAGCTAAGGGTTATGGGAGTGCAGAAAAGGGAGTAATTAACTCTGCCGGCTGGCATGGCAGACGGCTTTGCGATGACTCTCAACCCTGGCTGCGTGTTAGAATCACTCAGGGAGCTTTTTAAAAATACCGCTGCCTGGGCCCCAACCCTGGGCCATTAAATCTGAATAGCCGGGCTGGAGCCTGGGCCTTGGTATTTTTATAAAGCTCCCCAGGTGACTCTGATGTGCAGCCAAGGCTGAGATGTACTGTAGTAAGTGATATTTAAATTGCGCCTTGAAAGAAGCATTGAATTATGTCACATGGAGAAGAGGATGCAATTATAGGTAGAAAGAATGGTGGTGATTAAGCAAAACAGCATAGAAATGCATGAAGATTTCGTAGAAGGTGAGGGAACTGCCAGTGGCTGGAATATGGTGTGTGTATCAGGAGGGTGGATAAGACTGGAGAGATAGGTTGAGATTAATGAAAATTAAAGACACCAGCTTTATGAATGTGCTAATTGTCTAACAGAGGTCAAATATCACCTGCTTCTGGCTATTCCTTTATATCATATTTTATATTTTATGCTGGGACCATGTTTTGGAGTTTGTATAACATGGAATATCATATTATAAAAATACCACATTTTAAATATATGTCCCTTATATCTAGTATTTTATTACTAATTCCAAAACTATAATTCAGAATTCTGTCACTTTATGCCTAAACCTTCTATAATACCTTAGGTTTTTTTTCAATATTTAAAAAATACAGAAAAGCTTAAAGAAGGAAACAGCAATTACATTCCTGTCAGCCAGAATTAATCATTGCTAATATCTTGGTATATTTGCTTCCAGTGTTTTCAAATTAAAAAAAAACATTTTATTTTGTTATTCTGGTAAAAATGATATATGTTCATTATAGAGATTCCAAATAATGCAGAAAAACACAAAGATAAAAATTTAAGAAACCATACCAAATATTATTAGGTGACCCATTATCCCTGATGTTTCTGGAATGATTGATAGATTGTTTTATAAAAATCGGGGCCGGCCGAGTGGCTCAGTTGGTTAAGAGCTCGCTCAAGAGTTTGAGTTCTGAGCAATAGCAGTTCGATTCCCAGCCCGAGCTGAGCAGCCGCTGAGCTGACAACTGGTGGCAGGATGGCTCAGCTTAAAAAAAAAAAAAAAAGTGAAAAAAAAAGGATTTATATTACATTATTAAACTTAATTTGACACGAATTTAATAGGAGGGGAAACAGCTGAGTTAAACCCAACAAATTTTTACACCTCAAGTAAATATTTCTTTACCACAAGATTCCTGTGAGTTAAAAAAAAAATTCCTCTGCAAGTGTTGGCCAATTTTTTCTTTAAAGTTCAGATAGTAAATATTTTAGGCTGTTTAGGTCCATTGTGGTAGCTGGAAAGTAGCATGAACAATTCGTAAACAAATGGGTGAAGCTATGTTGAATGAAACCTTACTTACAAAAACAGGAAGTTAGCCCTTAGGCCGTAGTCTGTAGTCCCCTGGTCCTTAGTTATATAAAGGTGATTATGAAAACATTTAGTTTTTTTTTTTTTACCACATGTTTTTATTTTGGGTAACATATCCCAGCTTCAAACGACGAGAACCAGGCCGGCCGAGTGGCGCGTTGGTTAAGAGCTGGCTTGGGATGCCAGCTTTGAGCAGCAGGGCCCGGGTTCGGATCCCACATGGGGGCCAGTGACACTGCCCTCCACAGCTAAGATAGTGAACAACAGCTCGACCTGGAGCTGGGCTGCCATGAGTCGCCGGTGATGGCATAGGCTGCAGCCAACCCCTGATGCAGTGGGCTGCCATAAGCTACTGTGTGTGGCCAGCAGCCAGCATGAGCGGCTGGCAGCTGGTGTGAGCTGTCAAGAGACTCCGTGAGCGGCTGTCCAGAGGCCAGCGACCAATCTGCCTAACCCAGGAAGAGCGCAATGATAATACCAACATGGGCCACCGAAGCGACGTCCTCCACAACTAGACTGAAGAACAAAAGGACAGCAACTTGTCTGTTCCCCTTCTCCCAATTCCCCAGCACTGTTCCCCTACCCCTATTCCCCAATAAAATCTTAAAAAAAAAAAGATGAGAACATTAGGACTCTCCTGCTACTCCCATCTCCTCTCCCTCACCTTCTGATTTTTATTACACTAATTTACATTGTCTAGGTTTATAATGTTCATAACATAATTGTTATGATCTTTTAGTATTAGTTCTACATGTAAGTGGGTCTGATGCGCACCAACAGTCCTTTTGTCCTGGCTTCTCTGCTTGAGTTCTTTAGTTTGATTGATTTCTTAATTGCCTTGCCTGGCTTTGGTTATCAAGCAGTTTTTTGTGTTCATGGGTATTTTACTTCTCTGAGTCCTTATACTTGAATTACATCTGGGGTCATCCTTTCTTTCTCATAACTTTGTAGACATGACACCATTGTCTTTCACAATGAATATAGTGAAGTCAGTGCCAACCTGACTTTTTCACCCCTTGTAAGTGATTTTTCTTTCTGCCTGGATGTCTGAAGCATTCTTTGTCTTTGAAGTTCAGGTGTTTCACTTAGGAAACACCTTTATGTCGAATATTCTAAATCAAATTTTCCTGGATTTCAGTGATTTTTTTTTTAACCTGCAGGTTTAACTCTTCACTTCCAGAAAATGTTTCTTATATCATTTGATACATCTACTCTTTGATTTGCTGCTGGGTAGCTAACCCTTATCTTTCATATGGTGATACCTAACTATTCATTCTCTCCTGGTTTCTTTTAGAATAGAACACCCTGAACTTTAAATGAGCACATGGCTATCCAGTTACAGACTACATTTCCCACTGTCCCCAGTGGCTAACTGTGGACATGTGACCAAGTTCAGTCCAATAAGATGTGAGGAGAATGTGATAAGTGTAACCTCTGGGCCACCTCCTTAGAGTGCTTGCCCTATCTTTATCCTTCCTATGGGCTGAAACAAGGGTATGGGGAGGAGCCAGCTTCAACCATGGAAATGAAAATGTCTGTAACCACAGGAATGTGGAGATGAAGGAGCATCAAGACAGAATAAACCATATCTTGGATAACTTCATGGAGCAGAGCTGTCCTGCCGTCCTTGGACTTCTCATCTGTGGACTGTTTTGTGAGTGAGAACTAAACTAATTTATTTAAGGCATTATATTTTTGGATTTCTTTGTTACAGCAGCTTAGCCTGTAACAAACTAATATGCATGTCTATTGGCTTCTAATTAATTTCCTTTATCTTTCCCTCTGTCTTTACTGTACTTATAGTCCTTTCTCCATGTCCATATTTCAGTAGTCAGCGGTGTTGGTTTTGTTATTTCTATTTATAGTTTATTTATTAGCTCCACAAAGTATTTTGGTATTTAATTTGTTTCCTAATGTTCTGCAACTCTCTTTTTATCTCCTTCTGCTATTTTTATCATCTCATGGTTGAGCTCTAATTTTACTTAATTTATGCTCCTATCGAGTTTTGTTACAACGTGAAGAAATTGTGAGAGAATTCCTTCTGTTCCTTAAGTTAAGTCTTCTTGTAGGGTAGGCTTTGTCTTTTGCAGCCCACAATCCTCCCATGCGCCCTCTTCCCCTTCTCTTTCTTTTGTAAGTTGTGGGTCGAATACTGACGTTTATATAAAAAATGAGTACAGTGACCAGATCATTTTTTCCCCTTGTACATACTTAGGAAGCTTTACCCAGACATTCTACTTGCTCTGATGTAGTATCTCCTCCCCCATTGTCTGGTACCAGTGTGTTTTCTCTCCCGGCCACACTTAAACACTGGGTATTCTGACTGGGTATTCCCCACCTTTCTGTTACCTGAGGGCTTGGGTGGAGGAAGCCTGTTTAAGGATGTATGCAGTCTTCGTTAAAATATGTAGGCTCTCCTCCCTCTCCTGAGATTTTGATGAGCATCCTATATCAGGGTTTGTTCTACCTAGCTGAGGATGAGGCCATCCTCTCTACCTCCACCCCCAGGGCATTTGGAACATTTCAGTGGAATCCGGAAGGCTTCACTTCTCTCAGGAAGAATCAGACACATTATTTACTTTCCAGTTTCACCTGTTTCTTCCAAGTCTCCTTGTCAGAAGAGAAAAAAGATAAGGACACCTGCTTGATTGTCTCCTCTCCAGATTTTGTAGTGTTTCTGAGAATCCCAATATTTTGATAACTTGCCAGTAGTATTTCTGAGGGGTAGGGAGGGGTTAGGATGGGAGCTGTGCTGCACCCCTCTACTCTGCTCCAGCATTTTCTGCTTGGTGAATTTAAAAAATTGTGCACGGTCTACACAACCACATTCAGGAGCCCTGCCGCAACGCTCCTCCCCATATTATGAATAGGGAAGCTAAAGATCAGGAAGGGAAAATAGCTAGGGCACACATTTAATCTGCCTTTATCTCAGAGGCAGAACTACAAATGCATGTCACTGCTTCATTGGCCCAGTGCTTTCTACTGTATTTTCTTGCTTCCTGAGTTCTTGAACCTTCAGAGTCAAACACAGCTCAGGTCACCAGCTCTGCCCCTCTATTTTCATAAGAAAACTTAACCACTCTGTTCCATGCCACACTCTTTTCCCAGTTGCATTTAACTTAAATACAGTAGGAGTCTTACTTTCTCTCAGACTAAGGTTTATTAGAATTCTTGCGATAGAAGAAAAACTCCCTGGAAAGGCATCTGTAGCATTAAAGCAAGAATCCTGGGCTTCCAACACTAGTTTTGAGCCCTAGTTCTGTCATTTAATTAGCAATGTGCAGGGGGAAAGTCATTTAACTTCTTTAAGTCTGAGTTTTATCTTCTGTAAAATAAGAATATTCTTATCTACAGGGCAGGTTAATTTTGTGTAAAGGATTTGTTCCTGAGGCATTTCATAGGTCTCAACTCACATAATTCAAGACATCCAGACAAAGAATGGCAGGTTGGCACAGACTACTAGGAAACCCTCCAGTGTGCTACCCAGCCAGGAACTATGATTCCCAGCCTTCCTTGTAGCGTCACATCTCTTTATGACGAGATTCTGGCCAGTAGTATAGGAACTGTAGTGATTCTACTGGTTGGAATACAGACATGATGGTAGCAGCATAGCAGCCATCTTAGATCACAAGATGGAAAACTGCCTGTTCAGGAGGAGAGAGCAATAAAATGGAAAGTGCATGGGCACCTGACATTGTAGATCTGCCACTTCAGCCATGAATGGTTTATGCTCAAACTGTGATGCGAGAGAACATTATTGTGATGTTTAATCTACTGATATTTGTTGCAGTTGCTGAACTCATATCCTAAGTTATACAGGGTAGTTTTATTTACTCAAATGGTGACTGTCTGTGGAAAGTTCAGCATAAATATAGCTTAAATTCACTCAGACTGCACCACCTTTGAAAAAAATGAAATTTTGTTTCATTTTTTAAATTTGGGGGGTTTGATATGTCAAACTTTGTGTATAAAGCAATAATTTATTATTATTATTTTACATCATGGTATTTCAAATTTATATAATTCAGTTTCACATAAGATTCAGCATCACTCATCTTCCATAAGGCTGTTGTGAGGAATTAATTAATTAATATGTGGAGATGAACAATATAAACTTTTTTCACCTCAGAAATTGGGTTTTATTTTTGTACATAAATATTGTATTAAAGTATAACATTAATTTGTAAGACAAAACCCATAAGGTTATCAGTTGATATATTTCACAAAGAGGACACTGTGGGTAACCAGCATCCAGAATAAGAAGCAGAGCATTGAAAACACCCTTCACACCTCTCTCATGCTCCCTCTCAGCCATTACTATCACCCAAATGTAAACCCTCTTCTGAATTCTATTACCAACTATTGTTTTTCTGTTTTTGAACTTTACATAAATGGATTAGTACTCTCTTTTAAATGTGGCTTTTTTCTTTTAAAATTGGTGTGGTATTTACCCATATTGTCATGTTATAGCAGTATGTTTACACCAGGAACGTTTAAGTATTGATTTTGATTAATAATTATACATGTAACTGTAACCAGTAAGACTGGAGCCTCCAACCATCCACTGTTTTTGCATTGCTTATAATGTTCCTTCTAGAATGTTTTTTCTCTCAGCTCTGGCTACTAAACTCTTATCACCTTTAAACCATCTTTTAACCTCCTCTAGAAAATCATTTCTGATCTCTTTCTCCTCTGAATTCCTATAGCTTTTTGGGAATTCTGTTATTACATTTATAACATATATAGTAAGTATTTGTATAGTATCCTGAAGGCATTACATAATTCAGAACTCATCTAACTCTGTCTTATTATCTCATCTGAAGAAGGAATAGAGCCAAAAAATGTTCTTAAAAATATAACCACTTAAGGTTTATTGGAAAGGGGCAATTAACATAGATATATTGATAGCAAATATTTTTCTTTTTAATAAAGGTAATACAATGGCAAGACTAGTTAATGGCCTTGTTACCCTAGTGGTAATGGCAGAGTAGCTTATAACAGACTAACCCTTCTGAAGATTACCGTTATAAACTCTGGATAAAATATTTTTTTTAAAAATAACTAGTTTTGGGCCGGCCGAGTGGCGCGATGGTTAAGAACTGGCTTGGGACGCCAGAGGCCCCGGTTCGGATCCCACATATAAGGGCCAGTGACACTGCCCTCTGCAGCTAAGATGCTGAACAACAGCTCAACCTGGAGCTGGGCTGCTGTGAGTCGCCGGC